GCATGGTGTGCACCGAAGGACTTGAGAACTGAGTTTGCTTGAAATTGTGAGACGGGACGGATGGAATCCTTTAGGAATAGACTGCACAAAATGCACACATATATAGCGAGAGCGAGAGATTATGTACATTCACCCAGAAGCTGTCAGAGGTAGGGTAGGAAACCGATTCATAGCGTGACACTCTCATAGCATACTTCGCCCTCACTCGAACTGTGTCCGAAACTTGAAAAAAGGCGCCTTTGCTAAGGCACATCCAAATCCAGCATTTGCCTTCCATCTGTTTGACTTATAATATCTCCACACTCTTGAGCATTCAGTTTGGCGGTTAGTGATAAAATGACATCTGATGAAGAGATTAGAAATACAAGAATACATAAATGCCTGTTTTTTTAAACTTAAGTTTACATTCCACACAAAAATTACATTGTAGTCACTAAATATTTGATTTGACTTGACAGCTGCTTTCAAATTCGGACACAGCCTCTGTCTCTCTCTCTCTCTCTCTTATACTTTCTCCTTGTCTTTTTGTCAGTGTGTCTGTTGCACAGTTCTTAAATGTATTGTATTTCTTCCCAGGACTAAATTTGGAGTTCTGTGTTACAAAACACATAGAGAAGTCAAACTGTCCTCTTCTCAGAGTGTCAGAAAGTTTGGTCATTTTTGCCATTTTCTCCTTTCAGAAAACAGTGTGGCCTTGAAACTACCTCTGATTTAACCAGACACTCACTCACTCCCTGTGAGCATACCAACTTCACCAATACAACAGCCATCTGGCTAGAAATGAGGTGACAGAGGAGAGAAAAAGCAAGCAGGATACACATCTTCGGGTACACTAAAAGTTTGCAGCATCCTATCAAATCTTTGGCTTTGGAAATCATTGGATTGTCTTTGTCACACTCAGGTGGCGTCAAACGTAGGGACCATCTCTACTGTTTCTTTAGAGGAAAGCAGCAGATTTGGTGCTTTTCTCAACCTGGATGTTCTTCGTTTTTCTGTCTTGTTCCTGTGGAGGATGTGTCCTTGTTCCGGTGGATGTGCACCTTTTATGTTTATCTCAAACGCAACAGACACTACAATCACTTTAATGAGAGGTGAAGGCTGAAGGAAAGAAAATAAGAATGAACAAAGTCTTATTATATAACGTAATAGGGATGTTAATAGTTACATACATAGATGCATATTACCGTAGCTCATCCATGTATTTGTGTGTGTTTTATACAAAACAAAGAAAGGTGATCAAAATTTTGGATGGAGAAAAATCCATTGCTAAAGAACTATTGTGTCAACATTGCCAAATGTTTTTTTATGTTATTTATATGTTTATTTCTTTTATGTTTTTTAAATTAATGTTAATGTACTTCATGCATACAGAGGCCAAACTATTTAATTTATACTATACTTCTGTGCCAATCCTGAAAAACAGCATGAAGCTGACACTACAGGGTCTCCAGAAAAGAGATTAGTTTAAAAAAGGATAAAGAACAGTAAAACAACTGCTGCTATGACATATCTAGTTAGTAATTTTATTATTATTTTAAATAATTTTTACTCCCATGTAAGGTAGATCTATAAAGCAAAGATAAACTGTGAAGTTATTATTGACTTGGTGCTTACCAGCAATGAGTTGCCTAGATTTGTACACTACATAAATACCCTCAAGCAACTATGTGATATTGAGTGCATTTCACATTTCAACTGTTAACCATCTTAAGCATTGATCCTGATTTTTATGGGTTTGTGGTGATTCAAAAGCAACTTCCTGAAGCATTTCTGAAGACTGTAGCTCTTGGTTGTTAAAGAAAGTCTTCATTTGTAGAGCTAAAGCTAGTTTGCGTTTGACTGAACTACAGAAGGTTTACAAACAAACTAAACTAAATTACAGTTAATTCACAAACTGTTGCGAGATTTTGTGTATATACATTATATTATACAAATATTTCATACTTGTAACAGTTTTCTTCCTTTTAATCGAGTTTGGTCACTTAAATTTTTTTTACCCACAATTCCGTAACCTGTCTTGAAGACTTCCATCTAACTCAGTACTGTCTACGATGCTGTGTTTGTCTGACCACACATGGTACATCAGTGTCATTGCCTTTCCCCACCACTGCCTCATTTTGCTAAAGCTCGTCGATCCTTGCATTTATCAGACATTCTACATGTTTACATGACTTTTGGAGAGCGATACATTGCCGACATTTGCACCCTTTACTAGTTATCGACAAAAACCGGTGAGAAGCTGCTCTCAGTCAGATCTCTGACAGTATGATGCATTACAAGACATTGGAGTTATGGGGTACATATTTACAGTATGTGCTGAATTTGACATGAAAACCATTTTAAGTGTTCATAAAGCATATCTCCTGTTGAGTGGTTGTAAGTTCTCAAGGTAGCCTGGGGTTGCTGTTTTAACGTACCACAGTGTTTTATTGACTGAAAATGTTTTTTTGTCTAATGAAAAATTGTTTGTGTGGAATCGCTTGTTGTAGAGTTGCTATTTTTCCCTGTAATGCCCTTATCACTGATTAATATATATATATATATATATATATATATATATATATATATATATATATATATTAAAAAAAAAAATAGACAC